GTAATCCCAGCACTTTGGGAGGCCAAGGCGGGTGGATCACGAGGTCAAGAGATCGAGACCATCCTGGTCAACATGGTGAAACCCCGTCTCTACTAAAAATACAAAATATTAGCGGGGCATGGTAGCGCGTGCCTGTAATCCCAGCTACTTGGGAGGCTGAGGCAGGAGAATTGCCTGAACCCAGGAGGCGGAGGTTGCGGTGAGCCGAGATCGCGCCATTGCACTCCAGCCTGGGTAACGAGCGAAACTCCGTCTCAAAGAAAAAAAAAAAAAGTAATAACAAAATAAAGAGGAATAATGGTAAATCAGTAAGAAAATGATCAATAAGTAGATAGAAAAATGACAGAAAATGAATACAGCTCACAGGAAGGGACATTCAAGTGGCTCAAAAACACATGCAAAGTGGCGCACTGAAAACTCGGGAAGGGCCGGGCGCAGTGGCTCATGCCTGTAATCCCAGCACATTGGGAAGCTGAGGCAGGTGAGTTAATTGAGCCAGGAGTTTGAGATCAGCCTGGGCAACATGGCAAGACCCTGTCTCTACAAAAAAATTTTAAAATTTGCTGGGTGTGGTGGTGTGTACTTGTAGTCCCAGCTACCCAGGAGGCTGAGGTGGGAGGATCACTTGAGCCTGGTAGTTTAAGACTGCAGTGAGCCTGTGATCACACTACTGCACTCCAGCCTGGGTGACAGAGACCTTCTTGTCTCCAAAAGCCAGGCATGGTGGCTCATGCCTGTAATGCCAACAATTTGGGAGGCTGAGGTGGGCAGATCATCTGAGGTTGAGAGTTCAAGAGCAGGCTGGCCAACATGGCAAAATCTCATCTCTACTAAAAATAGAAAAAATAATTAGCGGGGTGTGGTGGTATGGCTCCTATAATCCCAGCTACTCAGGAGGCCAAGGCATGAGAATTGCTTGAGCCTGGGAGATGGAGGTTGCAGTGAGCTGAGATTGCGCCATTGCACTCCAGCCTGGGTGACAGAGCAAGGCTGTCTCAAAACAAGGACACTCTCTATAATGGGCTAATAATGGAAAAACTTCTGCGATATAAGCCCAGCATGTATTCCATGCTACCATTTCTATACAAGAAGGGGAAAAAAATCAATCCACATTAGGCACCGTTGAGTCTCTTTGGATAGTTACATTGGTTTGCTTTGGGGAGAAAAATGAGGAAAAGGGTAGATTTTTATATCTATCTTGTCTTTTACATTTCGACCCATGTGAGTGCGTTACCTTTTCAAAACCAGAGCTAAAATAGAAAATGCATCTTGTGTATACCCTCCGTTCAGCAGTTCCGGCCTGGAGCCTACAGCTACGTCCCTGCCTATGAGCAAGGGTGTATGTGGGAGGTATTCAAGGCAGCATTGCTTAGGCTGCAGAAACAGCCTGAATGCCCCACAGCGGGGACTGGCTAATCCTCACACAAGGAAGGCTGAGAGGGTCTGTCTGCTCGTACTGACAGGGAAACAGCTCCAGAAATGACTGTCAGGTCAGAGATGCCACAGGCTGGCAGTGTCTAGGTGTGCTATCATTCGTTTAGTAAATCTCTACATGGATTTGCTTATACACATGCACAGAATATCCCTGGATGAAAATCAAAATCTAGTGACAACATCTGCCTTTAGGGAGGAAACTAAGGACTGAGGACGGGGTGAGAGGGAGAACTTGAATCTGTGTCTGGGTGACCTCGCCATGGTCCTGAATTACTTGCTTCATAAAAAACAAACACAAACCACTAGCTGAAGATTAAACAGTGTGAAACCTGGTCCCGCAACAGCCTTAGCAGTGTCTGGTGCACAGGGGAACCCATCAGCCCTTGGGTGTGTGTTGGACCCTCCAGAAATAACTGGTTGCTGTTGTTGGATTTCCTGATTGGCTGGGAAGGTTCAAGGCAACTGGGGAATCTTCCCAAGAAAAGCCAGGGAAATGCCCCAAGCTGCCAGATGCTAAAGCCTATGAGAGGCGAGGCGGGGAGGCCTGAGCGTGTCAGGACCAGGAAGGGCCACGTGAGCAGGAGGGAGGCCGCCTGTGATGACCCTTGGAGGTGAGGGAAGGACAGGGAAGCTGAAGGGCACAGACTGGCTATGTCCTAAAACACTCTTCCTAAAGGCAAAGCCTCAAAGGAACATCCTGTGTGCCTGTTCTCCTGATGCAGTGGTGTGGGGGACTGGGAGCATGAAGGCCTCCCTGTCTGTTTCCCTGTGTGTAGCGTACGCCTCCGCAGCATATGCTGGGCACTGTGGGGATGAAAGAGGGCCCACTTGTGGTGAGGCACCACTCACAATCACCCGAGGCTTGAGCAGACTGATTCAAACCCGAGGTGTCCAGGGGTGGTCCCCTTTTCTCACCAGCTCTCCTCACCCAGGTGGCTTGTCCTGGGCCTCCGGTGGGGACAGCAATCCCATACTCGCACTCTCCTAGCCTGAGTACCAAGACCCCAGAATGGCTGATCCGGCAGGCTGCGGGAGTGGTAGCCACTGCAGCTGCTCCGCAGGCAGAGCACACAGGTGTTGGGCTCAGGGGAGACAGGTGACATGGCAGGGTGACGGTACCTGTCATCAAGGGCTCACAGGCCTCTAGTTCCATGGCAGGGCAGGGACTCCAGCTACATTTGGGCACAGACTCTCAGATGAGGCAAGAATCAGGGTTGTTTCTAGACTCTATAGTTCTAGGCTCTATGGAGGGGCCCCAGCTGGGCATACGGCTTGAGCCCTTGACCCTGGGGTCCCTGGGCAGCACAGTGACACCTCAGAGGTAGGGCAGTGGAGGGCCAGGGGCCCCTGTGATGCCTGAAAGAGGGCAGGCTATCTTCGCCCAGCAGCCAGGAATGCAGCGGTGTGTGTAGGGGTGGGGGTAGGGTGGGGGGGGAGGTTGAGCGCACACAGAACACAAGGGAGTGCCTGGGACTAAAATGGGCTGAGGGGCAGCTGGGCTGGGCTGCTTCTCCCTCAGAAGCAGGCTGAGGCCCACCAGCTAGGAGGCAGCTTGGCTGACAAAGCTCTGCCCAGGGTCTAGCTGCCCTCACCTGGGAGCCAGGCCAGGGCCAGGACTGGGGCCACACAAGGTGTCCTTGGTGGTGGCTGGCCTGGTCCACATGTCCACCCCCTCTCCCACAGCTGCCCCTGATCAGGGGATCTCCTATGCCCCACCCCCACCAGCCTCCCAGATGGCAGGGTGCTGGAGAAACCCACAAGGGGCGCCCAGCCTTGTGGCCAGCATCACAAGGTGAGACAGCCTCAGCTCTGGGAAGGCGGGATCAATGGCAGGAGAGGTGCCAGGGAGCACAGCAGTGTTTGCCAAGGACAGGAGGGAGGGAAGGTGCTGTCCTCAGAATGCCACAGGAGGGGCCACGGCTGCGCACACAACTGGAGCCCTTGACCCTGGGGTCCCTGCAGCCTGGAACTCCCACCCAGAAGAGCCTTGGGCCTGACACACTGAATGGGGACACACTTGATGTCATCATTTTTATTCATTTCTCTTTCTGAAAATAAGAGTAAACATACAATATTATTTTCTGATGATACATGTTAGATCTAGTTACTGTAGGGTCAGAAAACTATCCCCAACCACTTGGAGGCAGCTTTCAATCCTGACATTCGGTGGAGGGGAAAAAAGTGTCCGTGATTGCCAAAAGCCGAATCTTTCTTTATTATTAAACCGCAGTAACAGGAAAACCTAATGCTCTTTCAGACACAACTGAAACCTGGGAGGCCAGGAGGAGGGCAGCAGACACTACAGAGAAACCCCGAAGAAACCCAAATGGAGACACACCTGCTTGCCCAGACCCATCCCTTGGCCCGGTCCCTGCTGCAGGAGTCGTGGGCTCAGAGGTAACACTGAGGAATGTATCTATCGTAGGCAGTGACCATCCTTGGGGCAGAAGTGGGGAGCGGGGGATGGTGCAGCTGCCAGGGGGACAGGAGCCCGAGACGGGCTCTGGGAGCTTCTGCCTGGTCTTGACCACGCAGGTCAGCCTCGGGAGGCTGTGGCCCAACTGGCACAGCTGCAGGGCACCAGCCTGGTGGCTGTGGGTGGGTGATGCAGGCCCTGGGCTCCTCCTAACCCAGCTCTGCCCCTCTGCCGGCACTTACAGCCTCTTGAGCCCCAGGCCCTAAGCAAGCAGCTCTCCTGGTACCAAGGGGACCCCTCCCTGCAGACCAGGCCAGGTTGGTAGGTCCATCCCATAAGAGGTGACAGCAGGGGGCCCTTTAACACCAACCCAAGGAGCCAGGGGCTGTGAGTTGGAGGGGCAAGCTCCACGCTCACCCTTCAGCCACAGCTTCTGCGGCCGCTCTGGCTGTTTCCTTTGGTCCCCTCCTCACCTGACCCCACATGTCACAGCCACAGGAGCACAGGCATCCTGGAGCACGGGAGTGCACTGCACTCTCACCCCAGGAGGGGAGGGTGCCCCACCCCAGGGATCGGGTGGGTGCTGCCATCAGGACCAGGGAGCCCCCTCAGTGGCCAGGATCCCCGCCTGGTCCCTCCTGTGAGGAGGAAGATGTGCTGCCGCTCCCAGGGGGTCCTCAATGGGGCGGGCAGGAGACTGGGGTGGGCACTGGCTGGGGCCTCAGTTCTTGAGGATGGTTTCATAGGCCTGGTACACATGCTGGGACACCTCGGGTGCTCGACACTTCAGGAGCAGCTGCAGGGGAAAGAGGGGTGGGGGAGAAAGCGTTCATCCCTGGGGCTTCTCTCAGGAAGGAAGCGGGTGGGGAAGAGAACAAGAGCCAATGGGAGAGCGTGGCGTGCACACAGCCTGGCAGCAGCCGCGCCTGTCACAGATGTGAGGGAAAGCAGAGGGGGCGGCTGTCGCAGCCAGCCGGGTGTGGAGTGAATATACTTGCAGCCCACACACCTGCTGTCAGCCCAGTCACCAGAGCCCTGCTAGTGAGCAGTGTGAGTCACGAGCTGGAGTGCCCAGCCCCCACCCCGAGGGCTGCCAGGACCCCCAGAGTCCCTTAAGGTCTGGGGTCCTCAGGACTGAAGCCTGACACAATGAGATCACAGGCAGAGGAGGGAGGAGCCCCCACCCATCCACTCTAAAGCACTGGTTCTGCAGGGTGCAGTCAGGAAGTGGGAACAGTGGAGTTCCACAGGTCAGCAGCAGCCCGTGGGGCTCCTCCGGGCCTCCTAGGAAGGGCTCTGTGCACAGTGTCAATGTGTGGAAGTGGGGTGTCAGCACCTCAATCAGGGCCACCTGGATGGAGCCTGCCAGGTGAGATGGGGTGCATGGGGGCCAGGACAGGAGCCGAGGCTGGGGAGGACAGATGAGGAAAGAGAAAGTGATCTGCTAACCTCTAAGTCCTGTACCACGGGCACCAGCGGGGAAGGTGACATGCAGCAACCAAACACGGAGACGGAAGTTACCACCACCGAAGCCACACGGCAGCCCCCCACCAACCAGCGCTGCCAGCAGGGCCCAGGAGGGGCAGTGTCTGGAGGACCACGCCTGCCAGAGACTCAGGGGTGCAGGGGAGAAGCAGAGCATGGGGCTGTCCAGGGCCCTGGAAAGGCAGCGCAGGCCTCCAGGATAACTTCGTGCCCCAGGGAAGCCACCCCTGACGGGTCTGCCTCAAGGCCTGGGAAGCTCGGGCTCCTGGGAACCAATGTCCTCCCAGCCGGACATGCAGGCACTCACAGGGCAGGGTCAGGGCCTGTGCCCAGCAATGCCACTTCCCAGTCAGGGGGTGCCCAGCCAACTGCACCACCTCCCAGGGCCCAATTTTACACAGTCTTCTAGTCCAACTCACTGTTCTCATACCCAACTGGTGTCTTATCTGGGTAACTTGACGGGGTTGAGTTGGAAGCTTTCTAGAAAGGTCCTTCCCAGGGACAGAACTGATTCTGGTTCAAGCCAGGCTTGAAGGGACGCTTGGACCACGTCCTCCACCAGAGCCAGCTCCTGGCCTGGAAGGGAGAGGAGGCTCCAAGGCCACAGGGCAGCGGGTGCTGGGGCTCTCACCGTGCAGCTGGGGTTGCCCGGCTGGATCCGCAGCTCCGCCAGCACCCAGATGCCGTTGGTCAGCTTCAGGGACTGGTAGAGCATGTCCTGGCCCTCCACGTTCCTCTTGGCGATGGTGAAGATGTTGCTGCTCTGCAGCTTGCTGCTCGCAGCCTCTGTGGGGTCACATGGCCGTGGGAGGCCCCACAGTCAGTGCGCGGGGCCTGGGCACAGACGAGGGGCTGGGGCCGGGGCTCGGAGTCCTCACCTGCATTGAGAGGACAGTCTCTGATCTGGAACTGGGCCTCATTCTCATTGGGAATATCCTTCCATGTGGCCAGGAACATCTGCCGGTCTGTGGGGTGAGCGGGGTGTGGGTGAGAGGTGGGCCTGTCATAAACCTGTGGTCCCTCCGCAGCTCAGCAGGAAATGGTCTGGCCTTTATGGTGCCACCTGAAAGCCGGCGACAGGCACTAGGTGCTAACCTCTAAGTCCTACATCACCGGCACCAGCGGGCAAGGTGACATGCAGCAACTAAACACGGAGACGGAAGTTACCACCACCGAAGCCACGCTGCAGCCCCCCATCAACCAGTGCTGCCAGCAGGGCCCAGGAGGGGCAGTGTCTGGAGGACCACGCCTGCCAGAGACTCAGGGGTGCAGGGGAGAAGCAGAGCATGGGGCTGTCCAGGGCCCTGGAAAGGCAGCACAGGCCTCCAGGATAACTTCGTGCCCCAGGGAAGCCACCCCTGACGGGTCTTCCTCAAGGCCTGGGAAGCTCGGGCTCCTGGGAACCAATGTCCTCCCAGCCGGACATGCAGGCACTCACAGGGCAGGGTCAGGGCCTGTGCCCAGCAATGCCACTTCCCAGTCAGGGGGTGCCCCGCCAACTGCACCACCTCCCAGGGCCCAATTTTACACAGCATTCTAGTCCAACTCACTGTTCTCATACCCAACTGGTGTCTTATCTGGGTAACTTGACGGGGTTGAGTTGGAAGCTTTCTAGAAAGGTCCTTCCAGGGGACAGAACTGATTCTGGTTCAAGCCAGGCTTGAAGGGACGCTTGGACCACGTCCTCCAACCAGAGCCAGCCCTGGACCTGGAAGGGAGAGGAGGCTCCAAGGCTCCACAGGGCAGCGGGTGCTGGGGCCTCTCACCGTGCAGCTGGGGTTGCCCGGCTTGGATCCGCAGCTCCGCCAGCACCCAGATGGCCGTTGGTCAGCTTCAGGACTGGTAGAGCATGTCCTGGCCCTCCACGTTCATCTTGGCGACGGTGAAGATGTTGCTGCTCTGCAGCTTGCTGCTCGCAGCCTCTGTGGGGTCACAGGGCCGTGGGAAGCCCCACAGTCAGTGGCGGGGCCTGGGCAACAGGTCGAGGGGCTGGGGCCCGGGCTCGAGTCTCAACCTGCATTGAGAGGACAGTCTCTGATCTGGAACTGGGCCTCATTCTCATTGGGAATATCCTTCCATGTTGGCCAGGAACATCTGCCGGTCTGTGGGGTGAGCGGGGTGGGGGTGAGAGGTGGGCCGTCATAAACCTGTGGGTCCCTCCGCAGCTCAACCGGAAATGGTCTGGCCTTTATGGTGTGACCTGAAAGCCGGCGACAGGCACTAGCGGCTGCACAGCCCTCTTCCTTCCCTGAGCACACCCTCCGCTCTGTGAAGGAGGCCTCGGTGCTGCTTCCAAATGACCCTGGCTTCTTGCGCCTGGGCCTCAGCTCTCCCCTCCCACCCCCACATGCCTTCCTCCTTGGCGAGCCGCCTGCTGGGTAGTCACAGCCTCCATGCAGGACTTCTGCAAGCAAGAGATGACATGGGCCAAGGGCTCCATGCAGCCAGGGGCAGGTTGGGGGCCATCTGTGTGCTGTGATCAACACCCTTCTCGGGGGTTCCAGCCAGGGCACAGAGGGGGTTACCAGGCGTGTGACACAACCTGGGCTTTCTGCAGCCTGTGGGACAAGGCTGAGGAGTGAGCGAGAGAGCCTGGGAGTGAGGTGAATTCCATGTGGCACAGCCCACCTGTCAGACCAGAGCTGGCCACCAAGGCCCTGGGGGTCCTGGGTATGCCCCTCACTCCAGGCTCCACAGGGAGCAGCGACTCCTGGACTCCACTGTGGGCAAGGCAGTCCAACCGGGCCTTGGTAAAGGCACCACCTTGTCAGGTTCCCAAGCCACAGCCCCATTTCAGGCACCCAAGGGGTCTCCCTCATGACTCACCCATCTTCCCATCCTCCACAAAGAGAATGTGCAGTGGGTACAAGGTGCTGAAGTAGAAGACATCGATGTTGTTCTTCACAGCCACCTAGGCACAAGGGGGTCCCCAGTCAGTCCCTGGGGCTTGATACCACCTCTGAGGCCCCAGGAAGGGCGTTGCTGAGCAGATTCTCTCCCAGGCCATTCCCTGGTAAACATACCCCTCATCCCCTAACCTGGGCCTCCCCAACACATCTGCAGCTAAGAGCTTGACTCCACAGACACAGCCCTCTGCTGACCCCGGTGGGGCCCGGCTGGTGGATGGGTAAGGACTGGGGTGCCCGCCCTGCCCGGAACGCACCTGGAGGTTGTTCAGGGGCTCCATCTTCATGACCGAGCCCACCGTGCTGAGAGGCAGGGAGATCTCCACTGTCTGGTTGGGGCTGAGTGGCGCGTGGACCTGGAGGGGGGCGGCGGGGGCCAGGCCAAAGCTGGGGAGAGAGGAGCCCCGCAGGGATGGCAGGGGGAGCAGGTGCTGATGCAGGGCAGGTGAGCTCCTCGGGCTCGGGAGCTGGGCTGTGGTTGGCAGGGAGCCTCTCACCCTGCCAGCCTTCCCACACTCAAGGCCCTGGACGGAAGGATGGACTCCCAGCCTCCCTTCCCCAGATGGCCACGTGGACAGAAAGAAAGAACTCTAGGCTAGCTGCTCTGCCCCAGCCTGGCTGCAGGACTGAAGCCCAGCTCTGTTCCTGTCCTCTGGGCCAGACACTGGTGGGCCCAGGTAAGCAGGTCTTGCCCTGTCCTGCCCTTGAGGAGCTCTGTCTAATGCCAGGGTCCTGGAGGGTAAGCTGCTTCTACCTTGAAAGCTCTGGGACCACCCAAGTCTCTGCTGCCAATCCCCAACTCCCAGGAGGGATCCGACCATCCCAAGCAAGATGCTGGATTTTACCCTCTTGGCCAAAACTGGCCAGGGTCACAGAGTGGCCACAGAGAGATTCAGGAAAGCCCTGCTTCTCTGCAAACCAGCACAATGGCAAATTAGGAAGATCCTCACGGGTGTGAGACATGCCAGCCCCAGGCTCTTGGAAGTTCGTGCCCCCAGGGCATGGGAATGGGGGCACGAACGGAGTGCTCAGTATACCCAGGCTGTGCATTCGATATTATACCTCCTAGCCTCATAAAAATAGCCAGGTACACTTCTTTCCATCTCTAGATGCGGACACCGTCTCAGGGAGGAACAGGCTTGGGTCAGACCCCATAGAGTGATCGGTACTGCTGAGAATCAGAATTTGAGCTGCCTGACCCCAGCCTGTGCTCTGTCCAAGAAGCCATTAGGCCTGGCTGGGACACAGAGGGAGACTTGGGAAACCTCAGGCCCACCTGGTGGCTCAGCACACCAGGCTTTCCTGGGAGCTCCACTACTGCCAGCTATGTGACCTGTCCAAGGAGCCAGGTGTGATTACCTACTAAAAAGGGGTGATGGCAGTGACTCTGCTGGGCCATCAGGTGGCTCAAGAGAGACAATACTCCCAAAGCCAGTGGCACAGGACTTGGTGCCCAGGAGGCATTCAGCACACAGTAAGCTTGCTAGAGGAAACCAGTGGGACCACCTCTCAGAGTCTGGACCACTTCTGCGGCCTCCAGGGTCACATGAAGGTGAGTGGCAGAGCCATCTCCTGCCCAGCCTATCCAAGGGTCAGGACCTACCCGCCCCCAGGCTCCCCTGGGGAAGCAGCCCCTTCAGTCAACTTCTTAGAGGCTCAGTTTGCTCATCATGAGCATGCTCAGGAAGAAGAATCATCAGGAGGGGCTGCCAGGGGTCCCCAGGAAGCCCTAGCCTCAGTGGCTGGGTCCATGACAGTGCCAGACAGGCAACTTTCCCACTGACACCGGGTGTAGGGGACCCAGTGGGAAGGGGGATGGAACATCTACTGCTCCCAGAGGCCCCATCTGACACTTTTAATCCTCTGCCATGCAGGGGGAGGCTGGCAGGCAGGCCCACTCCCTACCAGCCTTCTGAGAGCTGGTCCCTAAGACAGGTCCCACCCCCACCACTATGTGGGGTGTTTGCCAGAGGTAGGCTCCTCAGCTGAAGCAGGATGTTCCTCAAGGGTTCAAGACCAACCTGGGCAATATCCTGAACCCGCATCTAAAAAAAAAATTAAAACTAAAAGGAGAGACGCCCTTCCCCACTCTGCCTGGTACTTTGGAGTCCATATGAAGAGGCCACTTCGGGGTAAAAATCCCACTGCTTGGCTGGGTGCAGTGGTTCAAGCCTGTAATCCTAGCACTTTGGGAGGCCGAGGTGGGTGGATTGTCTGAGCTCAGGAGTTCAAGGCCAGCCTGGGCAACATGGAGAAACCCTATCTCTACTAAAAACACAAAAAATTAGCCAGGCATGGTGGTGTGTGCCTGTAGTCCCAGCTACTCAGGAGGCTGAGGCAGGAGAATTGCTTGAACCTGGGAGGTGGAGGCTGCAGTAAGCTGAGGAGGCTCCACTGCACTCCAGCCTGTGTGACAGAGCGAGACTGTCTCCAAAACAACAACAACAACAACAAAACCCACTGCTTTAGAGAGTTCTGGCCCAAGGGATGGTGGAGAACATCCTCCAGAAAAGGGGCACCACCCCAGCCCTGCTCCATCCCTGCCTGCAGTCCCCAGAACAGACTCCAAGTGGATTCTCTCCTAGGCCTCCCCTTCAGAGGTGTGCTGGCCTCAGGGAGCTCACCTGTTGCGGTTGAACTGGATGGCAAAGTCGGTCATGACCTGCAAGGCCTTGTTGGTCAGCTGCAGGTCCATGGAGATGGAGCCCACCTGGCGGGTGAAGGTGCCTGAGATCTCTAGCCCCTTGGCCTTCATGGCTGGGAGCCAGACCTGCAGGGAAGAGGGTGTGGAGGGGGCAGGTGGGTGCCTCTTCCCCCAGCCCAAACTCAACAGCCCACCTGAGGGTGCTTTTTCTCTTTCCTGCAGGCATCTCCCATATCCAGCACCCCCACCTTTACTGCTAGGGGATGACCAGGTACACATCAGGAAGAGAATAATCCCATGTCCCACCGAGGACACCATGACACGGCTGCCTCTCAGAGCAGCTTCGAGTGGGGAGGTGCTTGGGCGCTCAAGGGCTGACGTGACTCCTCAGAGGGGAATGGAGGGACCTCTTGGGAAGTAGGACTGAGGAAGTCCATGAGCCAAGGACAGAACTCAGTGCCCAGTGGCATCCTGAGGCTCAGCCACAGCCAGGGCCTTGCTGGCCATCACCACCTGTCCTCTCTTGCAGGAGGCAGGGCTGGCCTTCGGCTGTAGAAACTGGTCTGACCAAGGACAGTACCTAAGAGGACCCGTCGCCTGGCTGGCCTTCCGCTGCTTGGCTGCCCTTGTCATCTGAGTCTCAGCTCAAGGACCACCTCCTCTGGGAAGCCTACCCCCAGGCTCCCTCGACCCAGTGACGTTACAGCAGACACATATGAACTTGTGTCTGTCTCCCCTGTACCCAGATAGCTCGCTGAGGGAAAGGCTCTATTTTTCTGTCTTTATCTCCTTGGCTCAGAGATTGGTGTGTAACCAGTGTTTGGGGAGTGTTTGCTGAGCAAACAGCATAAGTACAGCCCTGCCCCGGGAAGACATCCACCAACAGCATCCTGGGGACTCACAAACACTTCTCAGGCGGTTACTCTCCTATGTACAGCTTACAGGCCCCTTGGGGTCAAAAGGCTCAAACCCCACCAACAGCTTCCGCAAGCGCATCCAGTGCCAACGAAGGTTCCCATTGTCTCTCAGGTTGCCAGTTTCAGAAACTGCAGAAACATTAGGCACCAGCCCCTGCCCCACCCTAACCCCCTTTAGGCAGTCACGCAACCCAAGTCTCCTCGGGGCCACCTCCTATATCTGCCTCCAGGGCCTCCACTCCTCTCCATCTCCAGAGGCACCACCAGCATTTGAGCTGCCACCAGATGTCCCCAGGTAAGACAGCAGCTACCAAGTGGTACCCCATTTCCACCCTCTGCCGCTTTCCATAGCCGCTTAAGCCATTTTGTGAAATGCAAATCTGATCATGGCACCCCGAGAAACCCCTTCCAACCCTGCAGTGGCCTCCATGGGCCTTGGCCGCCACAGCCTGGTACCCATCTGCTCCCCAGGCTTGGCTTGCCCCCGCCCCGGGACCTCACACCCATTGTTCGCTCTGCTTTGAAAGTGCTTTCCCACCCCCATCCTGCTTGGTTAACCCTGAGCACCCTCTGTGCCCCCCTGGCCAGATCTGTGAGGACAGAAAGCAGCCTGCTTTGGCTCTCAGCTGTGCCATGGCAGCCGAGAGTACTGCGAGGCTGGCTGAACCTGACCTGGGGCAGGGCTCCCTCATGGACGACTCCCCTGGGCCCCCCATCGGGCCTCCTTTACCCTGACCCTCTCTCAGTCGTCCATGGCTGGGGATGGGGACCTCACTGCTCTTGGTCACTGTGGGTTCATGGTGTCTCACACAGGTCCTAGCAGAACGATCTTCAATCTTTACTGGATGAACCAATGAACTGTCACCTCCAGCTGACCCAAATGCTTGAGGAGCCCAAAAGTTCTGATGCACAGCCAGCCTCACTGCCTTAGACCAGCAGGGTTGGCCAATGTCTTTAACCCCACAGGCGGGGTGTGGAAATGCGTGAGGAATGAACAATTCCAGGTGGACACAGGGCTGTTGGGAAGATGTGGATACCTACTGACTGATTCTGAAGGGAGAGTGCACCCACACCCTAGAACCCTCCCATGACCAAGGCAGTGGGGAAAATCCTGCCCATGTCATAAGGACTCCTCCTCCAGGGAGCCTGACCTGATGACTCCTGACTTGGTGATAGGATCACCTTTCCAGCATGCTCTCATCAGATACACTCATCTGACTCTTTTCAAAGACAAAGCAGAGAGAACACTGTTAAGACAAACACACCTGTAATCCCAGCACTTTGGGAGGCCGAGGCGGGTGGATCACGAGGTCGAGAGATCGAGACCATCCTGGTCCAACCTGGTGAAACCCTGTCTCTACTAAAAAATACAAAAAAATTAGCTGGGCATGGTGGCACGTGCCTGTAATCCCAGCTACTCAGGAGGCTGAGGCAGGAGAATTGCCTGAACCCAGGAGGCGGAGGTTGCGGTGAGCCGAGATCGCGCCATTGCACTCCAGCCTGGGTAACAAGAGCGAAACTCGGTCTCAAAAAAAAAAGTGAACACATACGTCTAGTGCCAGCTTGCCAAAGGCCAGCTCCAGGTTGTCTATTCGTGGCAGCTCTACAGTGCCTGGCAAGGGCTGGCACCCAGAGGGTTACAGGAGACTGCTGTTCTTCTGTCCATTAGTTCTGCTTTGTATGCCTGTGATATCAGGCTTCTGGTGGGTACAGGTTGGCCTCATGCCTTGGCACTGCCAATCCAGGTAGTCAGTTGCACATGGTGTACATCATACCATGATCCTAAGCTCCCTTGGTCCTGCTGGCCCTGACACCCCACACATGAAGGCAGGGGCATAGGTGGTTCTCACACTCTGGGGTCACCGTCATGTGAGGGTCTGGAGTAGAGGCTTTAGTGTCACCTGCTTTCACTTCCAGACTGTCACCAGCTATGTGACCTTAGGCAAAAGCACTTGGATTTTTCTTTTTTTTTTTTTTTTTTTTTTTTTTGAGACGGAGTTTCGCTCTTGTTACCCAGGCTGGAGTGCAATGGCGCGATCTCGGCTCACCGCAACCTCCGCCTCCTGGGTTCAAGCAGTTCTCCTGCCTCAGCCTCCTGAGTAGCTGGGATTACAGGCACATGCCACCATGCCCAGCTAATTTTTTGTTTTTTTAGTAGAGACGGGGTTTCACCATGTTGACCAGGATGGTCTCGATCTCTCGACCTCGTGATCCACCCGCCTCGGCCTCCCAAAGTGCTGGGATCACAGGCTTGAGCCACTGCGCCCGGCAGCACTTGGATTTTTCAATCACAAAATGGGAGGAAGAGCCACAAGGGACTGCCGGGAGGAGGATGTGCTCGTGGTGGCTGTGGAATGCTGTGCTGTCCCTGCACAGAAGTATGTGACTGCTAGTGTCAGAGCTGCTGTCTGCTGTGGGCATCTCAGCGCCCAGACCCTGCCAGGGGGCTCCAGTCACCACCACTGCAGGTGCGGCTATCACATGGTGGGGAAAGCCAGCTCAGTAGGGAAAAGGGGACACGTGCTGCCTCTGGCAGCTTCTTTGCCACTGACGACATGGCACACACTGAGCCCTCCTCACTGCCCGGCCTGCATGTTCTCACACCCCAAACTCAGCTCTCCTTCCCTAAGCCCCGGCTCTTCCCTCCCAAGGAGCTCTGAAGTCTGTCTGCTTCCACCCACAGGACACCCTCGTTGTCCAGCTGCAGCAGCACTCCTCCCTGCCACAGAACCCCCATCTCGGTGCTTCTGCCCTGCCCCTCCCTGCACACGCAGCCAGCTCTCAAGTGCAAATCTGACTGCTTCATCCCTCTGCTCAAAACTTTCCAATGGCTCCGGCTGTGCCAGGATCAAGAACAAACACTCGGCCGGGCGCAGTGGCTCAAGCCTGTGATCCCAGCACTTTGGGAGGCCGAGGCGGGTGGATCACGAGGTCGAGAGATCGAGACCATCCTGGTCAACATGGTGAAACCCCGTCTCTACTAAAAAAAACAAAAATTAGCTGGGCATGGTGGCATGTGCCTGTAATCCCAGCTACTCAGGAGGCTGAGGCAGGAGAACTGCTTGAACCCAGGAGGCGGAGGTTGCGGTGAGCCGAGATCGCGCCATTGCACTCCAGCCTGGGTAACAAGAGCGAAACTCCGTCTCAAAAAAAAAAAAAAAAAAAAAAAAAAAAAAGCAAACACTCAGCCTAGCCTTGCCAGCTTCCTCCCTCACTGATGTCTAGTCTAGCCAGGAGTCTCGGGGTTGCGCCCTAGGTGGCACAGGAGGCATCTGTGGGCATCTTCAGGTGGCACAATGTGTAGTGGGCCGCAGTCAGGGATGCTGGACCTTCTGCCACGAGACAACCACCCCACAGCAAGTGTCCTGCGTCCTTCAGTATTTTCTGCATGGTTTCAACATACCGTGAGACTTCCAGGAACACAATTCTCAGGAAAATCAAGGGAAGCCTGTTCCTTGTCTTACTTAGAACCTTACTGGAAGGCAGCGACCACTTCAGAAATGAACGGCACCACTGGCCAAAATACTCACGAGGTCCAGGCTACAAACAGCTATGGCTGTCACAGTCACAGTGACTTTGCCCTACAGCAAACACCTGGCAACTTCATGTCGTCTGGGGTGGGTGGGAGGGCGTGCCCGGGCATTTATAAACTGATACAGACACTTGTATTCTCTTCCTTTTATGTCTCCTCCATGCAGTGAAAGCATATCTGAGTATTTTTGGAATGCTATGTGTAGGTAGGTTACACAGCCCACCAATTGCATTTAAGGAGAGGAACGGTGACAATGTAAAATGTCTGTGATGACTAAGGGGTGCTGGGTCTGATGGCACCAAGAACTGCTGCTCCCAGCTGACAGGCCGCTGCTGATTCCCTGGCAGAGGCCGGGGCCTCCCTTTCCTCCAGGCCTTGCTACAGGCTGTTCCCTGGGCCTGGAGCCCCCTAACTACTTTCGTTCAGCTAATGAGTTTCTGCAACCCCTCCTCTGGGAAGCCTTCCTAGGCCCCCACCCCCGACAAGCCTGACTTAGCTCCTCTTTCTCAGTGTCCCCATGGCCCCCGGCTTCCCTCATCAGCACTGGCCTGAGCCAATTCCACGGCCGAGGCCATTTAAAGGAGCCCACATGCCAGTCTGACTTCTCTCTGCTCTTGCCAAGAAAGAAGGCTGGTGACTTACTGCTCTGGGGGCCACATATGATCCTGACAGGGTGCCCACGCCACTGGTTAGGTCAAAGAGGTCACTCAGGCCACTGCCGATGGGTGCTCCAAGATTGGCTGGTACTGATGCTGTTGGAGGTGCCACGAAGTTGGTGCCCCCAATCTGGAAAGGGAGGGAAAGAGTCAGAGGCAGCATCGGGCTGGGAATGAGTAGAGCCACCTGGCTCTTTAGAATACACTGGGGGCTGGGGGAAGGGCAGCCTCCACATCAAGTCTAAGTTACAGAAATGAGACAGAGAGAGGGTAGGGAAGAGAGGCTGAGCCCTCCCATGCCCTGCAAGCCTTGAGCCTTAGGAGTAACCTCTGGGAAAGGGCTGGGGACACTCCCAAATTGACACTCAGCCCATGGATAAAAGGAGGTCCCGAGACACATGGCTGGGTGGAGACATGCTATGCAGATGGGCGCTCTCCCTTCAGGACATCAGAGAGGGTTTGTGGGACTGAGGGCTGGCAATCCCAGAGTTGACAAGGCGATGTGTCATGGGTGGTGAGGACTGGGCAAGAATCCATGGCTATAGGGCCCAGGGGCAGCTGGATGCCAGTTGGTCAGGGCAGAGGCTGCCAGGACGCTGGACCAAGGCAGTGGCTCAGCAGGCAGGGCTGCTTTGACATCACCCGCCCCTTGGGATGCTGGGTTGGTGCTTTTGGGAGGAGCAAGGACGAAGGCTTGGTGACGCAAGGGTTGACCGTACCCCTTCAGGCTCATCCCCCATCTCCAAGCGGAAGCAGGCAGGTGAAGAGAACAGGCAGCCACATGCAGAGAGAAAAGCCAGGAAGGAAGACAGAGAGAGACAAGAGAAGGGAAAGAGGGAAGAGATGAGTCAACTGTAGCTCCATCTGAGAGGAGTGTGGCATGAGGCTGTGCCGGGGCCTACGAGAGACCCAGACCTGTCTCTATGAAAGGCACCTCCCCCACGCCTTCACCCAACACCCTCCCATGCTGCACCACAGCCCCTCCTGCCTCACCCTAGCGGCACTGATCGCCAGGCTCCTGCCCCTGTGCTGCCCCTGTGGGGACCTGAGCCGAGCACAGCCAAATGAAGAGGCTTAGCCACCCCCAGTTGCCTGATGATGCTCCAGGGAGATACCCAGGTCAGTCTCACCCCTCCCCTCTCTCCCTGACCTCCCATGCTCTCTCAAATAGACCTGGCTGGGTTGCTATTCCCAGCTGGGGCAGCATGAGGGTAAGTGGACACAAATCTGATTCCTCAAAGCCAGGAACACCCTCGCCTTACAATGCAAAGGTGACTTTGATGCCAGGATCAGGGCAAGGGCTAGGATGGGCTCCCTGCCCGGGGTCTCCTGGGACTCCAAGGTCTAACAAGGGAGTGGAATCCTGTCTGTGACTCAGGCTGTGCAACCTCGGATGGAAGGCTGCCTGGCCTCTCTCAGCCTTGGCCTTCTCATCATAAGTAGGGAGCTCACAATCGCCTCCGAGGGCAGATGGTAAGGACTCAATAGAATGTATCGGAGGCACCTGGCTTGTGCCTGGCCTGGAGGCATGTTCAGTGACTGCGCCTCTGAAGATCATTATCAACATCATCCAGAGGGCCCACAACATACCAGGCTGTCAAGGCCACCGCCAAGAAGGTCTACAGCTCCCATCTGCACTGAGGAGGTGGCCAGGGGCGGGCCGCTCACCGGGGGGCCGAGGTCCAGGTTGAGGAGGTCACCCAGCAGGTCGCCCTGGGCGGGGATGACATCTGGCTGCTCCCCGGGAGGTGCTCCAGCAGGGGCCGTCTCGGGGCTCTCTGTGCTCTCATTCCTGCCAGGACACAGAAGGGAGAGGAGGTCAGTAGAGCGGACGTACTGAGGATGTCTCAGGAAGGTCAAAGAGACCCCAGCCTCCAGGCGCCTCCCCCAGCACAGGCACTGGGTCTCGTCACCGTCCCCAACAGGGCTGTCCACAGGGCCCCACTGCTTCCCCATTCCCACAGCAGACCCATCTTTTAGGCCCTCCGTGAGGATGAGTGAAGGGAGAGGGCCGCCTGCTTCTACCCCTCAGCCCATGCTAAGGAGAAAACTGGATGCCAGCGCCCTAGTGCTGCCAGCTCACACCAACCACCTGGGAGCAGCAGAGGAGGAGGCACGCACAGGGCGCTGGAATGAGACGGAACTGGTCTAAGTCCCAGCTCTGCTGGCTGTGGGGTCCTGGACCAGTCACTCAAGCTCTGTCTATTGTTCCCATCTGACGAATGGGGACATTTGCTCTCAGAGCTGTCATTAGGATGGAATGAGGTCATCTAGCAAATACCTCGTGTACAATAAACATCTGCTAAAAGGTGGTCCGCTTTCCTCAGACCCAGGCCTTGCAGGGGGACAACACACCAGGCCCGCGCGCCTGTGCTGCTGAACCGGGGAAGCAGGAGCGAGGCTCAGGCCCACGACTGGCCATTCTCACTCACGAGGCAGTGCGGGGTGGCAGGCTCTTGTGTACGACGCCCCGGCCCCCCTCCACAAAGGCACTGGGAGGCTTATGGTAGACGGAGGCCAGCGTGCCGACGTAGCAGAGGAGCTCGTCCAGCAGCGTGGGCTCGATGAGGTCTGTCTCTTCAGAGATGAGCGGCTTCTCCGCCAGCACCACCTCCTTGGCTGCCACTGGGTCCGTGGAGAGCAGGCGCCAGTAGATGTAGCCACGGTCCCGCAGGTCCGGGTTATCTGAGTCCTTGTGGGCGTGAGGAGAAGCCCATGAAACTCACGGCAGAGCAGCCGAGTGAGGGTGAGGAGGAGACCTTCCTGCAGCCCCGTGATCCAGGTGAGGCATGGGGCTGGCCAGTGGGGACAGCAGTCCTGAGCGCTCCCAGGAGCCTGTCCCTACACCACCCACAGGGCCATACGCCGGCCCCGGCTCGTTCCCCATGGTGCTCTCCTCCAGCCTGGCCCCTCCTGTCTCTACTCCCAACCGCCCTCTGTGGCCTGCCCTTCCTGCCCCCTCTGCACACCCTCAGGTTTCCACGGGCCCTCTTTCTCTGGTTTGTCTCAACTTCACGACTTGACCTCACTGAACTTTAATTTGTGTTCTAAGCTCCCTGAAGGCAGGGAGCCAGTCCCATCCTCTAGATGCCAGTCTTAGGAGTGGGCCTGACTTCCAGGTCTAGTTGCTGGGACAAAAGCTCCCCTGCTTCAGTGAGGGCTGTGCTGGGCATGGCGAGGAGGCTGGCACCCACCTGAGTGGCCAAACTGAGGACCTGCTGCACTAGCTCCTGTGTTTCTGTTGGCTTCTTCAGGAAGAGTTTCACGATGGCGGTCAGCAGCTGCAACTGGACCTGCAGGGAGGGAACAGCGGTGACGAGGAGGACGTGTGGGCTTCACATGGGGACAGCGGGAAACCAAAAAGGCTTGAAGAGGAAAAGGGCGTTCAAAGTCCCTGGAAGCCAAGCACAGCAATTCTAGGTTTGGGGTTGTCACAGCACACAGGCAAAGGGCCTCCATGGGTGTTGGTGCCGCTGACCAGCCAGACCTCAGCATCTCACTCAGGAAGGAGCTGAGCAATGGGCTATCTGGCAAACCCAAGCAGGCTGGGGGCTGTCACCCAACCCTAGGGTTCTAGAAACCTGTTGGAGCTCTAGATGCTACAGCACTATGAGAGGCTCGCACGCGTGGCTGGTATGCTTCTTATCAGGGCCATCTGTCAACGAGTGGTGACAGTACCACGGAGGCCCAGAGGCTGCCATCAAGGAGCCGTGCTTCTATCAGAGGGTGGGAACCATTTCTGGTGGCCCTCCAGCAGCCCCTGCTGCACACCTGGACATCCCTGAAGCTGGCCTCATCCTGGCCAACACCTCCTTGCCCTTCAGATCTCATGCCAACCCTACCTCCAGAACCCCCACGCTTCTGCAGCCTCTTCCACCTCTCACAGCACCACCAGTTGCTGGCTGTCCTGTGCAGTGAGCTTCCTGTGGGCTGGAGTGAGGTCTGTCTGGCTTACTGCTGTGTCACTAGTTACTGCTCGATCTAGTGTCTGCTGTATAGTAGGCCCTTCAGAAATACTTGCTGACTGAAGAAATATCTATTCGAGAACAAGTCTCTATACATAATCCCTCCTTAGTCATGGCCTCATTTTCGCCAGGCTAGGGCAAGAGGGCAGCCCGAGGCTCCTGGAGTCAGGGGCAGTGCAGGAGCCCACAGGCTGTGCCAGGGACAGGTCTGCGGCTGGAGGGCAGGAGTGGCAGTGCAGGAAGCCCAGCGGCAGCCGTGCTGGCGGCATCTCCGGGACCTGCCCAGCAGGAGGGCACTTGTGCAGGGAAGGCTGAAAGCGGCAGGTGGAATGGAGGACATGTGGTCCTCCAGTTCTGGGACGAAGCAGAGTCTTTGCAGTTTGGTGACACGTGGGCCAACAGCAGTAGGCTGGCTGTTTCCAAGGCAGAAGGCAGCCCAGCATCTGGCTTCCAGACTAGCCCCTGCCTGGGCAGCCAATGGGAAGCCATTCATCCCCATCTATAAAGCAGAGGTGTGGCCTACTTCAGGGATTCTTGTGAGCTTTAAAAACGGCTTGCCTGGAGCTGGAGTCAGATTGTACCTCATTTGAACTCCAGTTCTATCAATTCCCAGCTGGGTGACCCTGGGCAAGTCTTTTAGCTTCTCTGAGTCAGTTTCCTAATCTATAAAACAGGCATTACACCTTACAGGGTTAATGGGGAGTTGATGAGACCACAAATGTGAAGCAGAATTGTGTATTCTGCTCACTATGAAACAAGTGTCATTATCACCACTAGTACCATCACACAGGGACTCTTGAAAAAGTTATTCCCAACCCAGTCAGCTGGATGCCTGGAATTTTCCTCACTGTCAGATCTGCTGTGGTTTTGGTCAGGTATGCCTCAGGCTGTATTGCCAGAGGGTGCTCTGGCCAGGTGCCAGGGCCCTGCTCAACAATCCATTCAAGTTCCCCTCAACACACTCAATCCATTAGCCTGCATATTTAGGGCAGACTTCCTGCAGTGATGTCATTACCCCAGCCATTCAGACAGGGTACAGCAGGCAGGACAGGACCAGACGCAGGCTGGGCTGAGAAACCACCCTGGCCAAGACTTTTTTTTTCAGGTAGAGTATCTCTCTCCCGCTCAAGCTGGAGTGCAGCTGGGTGATCTCAGCTCACTGCAACCTCTGCCTCCTGGGTTCAAGTGATTTTCCTGCCTCAGCCTCCCAAGCAGCTAGGATTATAGGCACACAGCACCATACGCAGCTAATGTTTGTATTTTTAGTAGAGAAGAGTTTTCAACATGTTGGCCAGGCTGGTCTCAAACTCCTGACCTCAAGTGATCTGCCCACCTCAGCCTCCCAAAGTGCTGGGATTGCAGGTGTGAGCCACCTCTCCCAGCTGCTGACCAAGACTTTCTAAGTCTGCTATCTCTGAAAGGAGAGGCCTAGGAGCAAAGGATGAGGAGGTTCAATGAGATGATCTAAAATGAGTTCCTTAATTGCAAAGCCTGGCACAGTGGTGCACACCCATAGTACTAGCTATTCGAAATCCCTTGAACCCAGAAGTTCAAGGCTAGCCTGGGTAACATAGTAAGACTCCACCTCTAAAAAACCAAAAAACTCCAGATCGCCAAGCACTAAACAAGTATTTTTTTTTTTGTGAGACAAGCTCTGTTGCTCAGGCTAGAGTGCAATGGTGTGATCTTGGCTCACTGCAGCCTCATCCTCCCAAGCTCAAACGATCCTCCCTGCTAGGCCTCCAAGTAGCCGGGACTACAGGTGTGTGCTACCACACCCAGTTAATTCTAACAGAGATGAGGTATCACTATGGTGCCCAGGTTGGTCTTCAACTCCTGGACTCAAAGGTACCTCCTGCCTCGGCCTCTCAAAGTGCTGGGGTTACAGGCGTGAGCTGCTGTACCCAGCTAACAAGTTTCTTTTTTTGAGGTGGAGTCTCGCCCTGTTGCCCAGGCTGGAATGCTGTGGAGCCATCTTGGTTCACTGCAACCTCCACCTCCCAGTTCAAGCAATTCTCCTACCTCAGCCACCTGAGTAGCTGGGATTACAGGTGCATGACACCACACCTGGCTAATTTTTGTATTTTTAGTAGAGACACAGTTTCATCATGATCAACTGCAGCTGCATAATTGCCCTCTACTCGGGGAGTCAGCAACCAGGTAAATTACCCTCTAGTGATATTTCTTTAAGATCTGTGTCATTTCATCTATACTTAATAAATGTGAGTGTCGCTGGCTGATTGGGGCCTTGGCTTGACTCTCTGCAGCACTTTTCTTGGTGTTTGTGAGCAGCCCAGGCCCTCAGCCAGACTGACAGGCGCAAAAAAAAAAAAAAAAAAAAAAAAAAGGTTAGGCTAGTCTTGTTGGTTAGGCTTGTCTCGAACTCCTGACCTCAAAGTGATCCACCCACCTCAGCCGCCCAAAGTGCTAGGATTACAGGCATGAGCCACCGCTCCTGGCCCTAATAAGTATTATTAAAAGAGCTTTCAACTGTGTCATGAACCAAAGACGGAAAGTGAACAGGCTACTGAATTACGTCACATCCCCACAGCTGTCCTTTACTGAGTGTTGGAGTGGGCACTTTACACACAATGTCCAACAGTCTTTGCAATCACTCTGTACTAGAGACAAGGAAACGGGTTTGGTAAGTTCAAGTAACTATGCTCCAGGCCACACAACAGGGAGGAGCCTGGGTCTCGAACTTCAGAGCTCTGTTTCTGTTCACAGCAACAGACTCCTGGTTTACCCCTCCCTGTCCAGCTTCTCGCACCTTGGCTTTTCAGCAGGCTTAGCTGCAAAAGACTGACCTACTACACGGGGCAGAAGCACACCCCTACAGCAGCGGTTCCCAACCTTTGTGGCACCAGGGACCAGTTTTGTGGAAGACATTTCCACAGATGGGAGATGGGGATGGGGGCGATGGTTTCAGGATGAAACTCCTCCACCTCAATCATCAGGCATTAGAGTCTCAAAAGGAAGGCACAACCTAGATCCCCGCTATGTGCAGTTCACAATAGGGTGTGCGCTCCTTTGAAAATCTAATGCCGCCGCTGATCTGACAGGAGGCGGAGCTGAGGCGGTAATGCTTGCTTGCCCGCTGCTCACTTCCCACTGTGCAGCCCAGTTCCTTACAGGCCACAATACTGGGTACTGGTCTGTGGCCCAGGGGTTGGGGATTCCTGCCCTACAGGACATCCTCACAGTGATCCCAGGCAGGACTTGACTGCAGCGGCAGAACCCAGCACAGGCAGGCATTGCTTCTGAGACAGAGAGAAGAGGTTGGTGTTGCAAGCAAAGGCAGTCTGGAGGCAGGTGGCGGTGTGGGTTCGGCGGTGGGGGGGAGGGGGGGTGCCGGTGGGAATTAGCACTGTGATTCTGAGATGGACATCTGTTGTTTTTGCTCACCCAGCATCTATTCTGTCTTCTGGGAACAGAAACACTGGCTCCCCTTCAGAGCCTCGCCCTCCTTTCTGTCCCTTTCAGTCCACACAAACTGGGATCAGTGCCTGAGAGACCTCGCCAACCAGAGTCACAGTGCCTGGCTCAGGATAATGCAAATAGGTCCTGGGACTTTTGCTGGAACTACTGAGGGGAGGGGAAAAACTCCGTCCATGAGAATTATTGTGTTGTAAGGACATAGCCTGGGACTGTTGACTCCTTACAGCTCCCACTCTTGGGAGTCTACCCACAGCAGAAGACAGCCCAGTGCCACCATCTGAGCACCCTCAGCCAGGAGGGCCAGAAGGGAGCATGCTACCAGCACTTGCCAGCTACCGGAACCAGTTTGTCCCCTTTAGGCCTGGACTAGTTTGCTTTTGAAACCAATTTGACTCAAACCAATACTACCATGAACGAGTGTTTATTATGGGCTGGGCATGTGTTAAGGACATTATACAAAGCATCCTAACTTTCACAGCAAGAGGATTAGGGAAGGTCTAATGATTTCATTTCACAAATGAAGAAACCGAGGCTCAGAGGAGGGGTATGGACTCTGGGATCTCTCATAATAAATCCCGCACTCAGATCTGCTGGGTTACCCTGCCCCAGTTGGGCAGCAAACATTTCTGAGCTCTCAAACAGACTACCAGACTGTCCCCAGTTAACTGAGATAAGGGCATACAAATGACAAGCAGACACTCAACCTCATTCACAACAGAAATGCAAACAGAACTACAGTGAGGTACCTCTGTTAGCTATCAGGCTGGCATAAACAAAGCAGAGGTAGCAGAGGGCAATGACACAGGTTACGCAGAGCAGACTGTTTAAATGAGCACAAGACTGGACAAATAAACACCCACCAGGAGAGGCTGGTTAAATAAAGCATAAATGAATGAGAGCACGGTCTGTGGATGTATTTGTAACAGAAAAAGGCAAGGTCTTGGACAATTTGAATTTGTTTAAATGAGAGGGCAATGTAGATACAGTTGATTCTCACTACTTGAGCAGTCCATGTGTGTGAATCTGCCTACTTGCTAAAATTTACTTGTAGCCCCCAAATCAATACTCATGGCACCTTTGCAGTCATTTGCAGATATGTGCACAGCCATGAAAGCTTTGAGTTGCCTGACACACACATTCACAGCTGAGGTCAGATAAGGCAACACTTTGCCTTCATGTTTCAGCTCTCATCCTGTAAACAAGCATCCTTCCCACCACCTATGTAGTACCATGTTTTTCATATTTTTGAGCTTTTTGTTGATTGCCTTGTTTAAAATGCTCCCAAGTATACTGCTGAAGTGCTTGCCTAGTGTCCCCAAGTACAGAAGGCTGTGACATGCCTCAAAGAAAACACATGTGCCACAAAAAATACATATATATGTATTAAAAAAAAAACAAACGTGCTTCGTCATCTTCACTCAGGCATGAATTACAGCATTGATGGCCATGAGTTCAATGTCAATGAATTGAAAATATATGTAACTAATGTGTCTTTAAACAGAAACACACATTTAAAAAGGTTATTAACTGATCAGTTGACAAAAACATTGTGTCTAGATGCTCACAGAAACCAAACTCCGTCTTTCTCCCGGGGGCTGTGGTTCAGTACTTGCTAATTCAGTGTTTGCCATGACTATGGAACAGAAGCACCACGAAAACTGAGAATCAGTTGTATGGATGGATGGATGGATGGATGTTAGCTGTGTGTGTGTGTGTGTGTGTGTGTGTGTGTGTGTGTGTGTGTGTGTGTGTGTAGGAAGGGTGGGTGCGTATGTGTCTGTCGGTCTACTGGTGTATTCTGAAATGATCTGAAGTTTCCTAAGAAATCGAGAACAGTGGTGACTTCTGGGAGGAGAATTTGCGGCTTGCAAAGATAAGAGGGAACTTTTCACTATATATGCTTTTGTATCTTTTCAATTTTAAACTAAGTCAATGTTATTTCCTATTGAAATATGAATATGAAATTAAAACATAACCAAGAACTTTTGCCTGCCTTCCATGCACACCCCCACAGACTGTCTCATGTGTCCCCTTGACTTGATTGTACTGCAGTGAGGAGGAAAAGGGGTGGTGCCCATTGCCCGCACAGCACTCATCTGTCTGTCTGTGCTGTTGACGAGGTATTAGGAAGGGAGAGTTTCAGGGCAGTATGGGCCACAGTGGGGCTATGCTGCCACTCATGACTCACACTCTGGCTGGCTTGCTGGCTCACCTGGGTGCTCTCATCATGGAAGCCCTCTAGGAAGCTCTCCAGCAGCTCATCTGCATTGTCGATCCGCTCCGCATACTCGCCCACGATCCAGATCATGGCAGCCCGGGCCTCAGGCTCATCCAGCGAGTCCAGGTTCTCACACAGCGTGGCAATCACACTCTCATACCTGGAAGACAAGGGCACAGCCAGTATGTGAGCCCTGAAGGAGAAGAGGTAACCCAGGGAAGCCAGGCAGGGGGCAGGAGGAAAGGGAAACCGCCTCATAAGACCCTAGGGTGGTGGGTGAAGGAGATCTGAGTTTCATTTGTCATATATTAGCACTTATTTTGGCCTGGGGAGCAGAGGACAGGCAGTGTGGGTGAAATAAGAAAAAACAAAGCGTTTCTTTTGAGAATGCTGCTTGTGGCAGAGAAGTAAGGAAGACCAGTGAGACAACTCCTTCCTTTTCCACCCCGCCATCCCGGTCCCCAGGCAGATGCGATGCCCTCTCCCTGGGAGGGTACGCACGCACTTGTTGGGGTACTTGCGGAAGATGTCCTTGATGACCACGATGGCCTCCTGGACTACATAGTTGACCTTGGTCTGGATGAGGTCGAGCAGCGTGCTCACACAGCGCTCCGCAGATTGCTACATGGGAAGAGGAGAACGTGGGCCAGGTCCCCGCACCCCATTTCCAATACAGCCTCTGATGACCACGCCTTGGCCAAGGGCTCCAAGTCACTCCTCCAGCACCTTCCTCGTCATAGCGGGAAAACAGGAAAACCCTCTCCCCAGGAAACGGGAGAACCAGCACCAAATCATGGCCCTAGGATGGCAGGGGCATAGGGAATGAAACTGAGGAGAAGCCAGAGGCAGAGCTTCTGAGAGCAAGGTGACTACCTGCAGTCCAACCCCACCTCTCTTTTTACTTGTTTCAGAAAGGGGACTCCTGTGACCAAAACACTCACAGAACCTCTGACTGGTTCTGCCTTTATTTTCACATGCTGCTCTCGTGGCCTGCTCTGAGGGAGATTTCTCAGGATGACAACACAGGCTCCAAGGCGAGCACGCCTCAAGGGCATAGGCGGGGGCTGACCAGCTATCCCAGGAGCCTCTAGTCACTAGTGGACCCATTTAAGGAGAATCTGGCTTAGTGGTCAAGGAACATTTCCACAGAGAAAGGAAGGGGATAAAATGCCAGGACGCTGGGACGCTTGGACACAGAGACGTGTGGGCAGCTGAATGATGACAGTATTTGCCAAAAATGTTCAACAGGCAGGGTCCTTGCCCGGAGCTCTGTGAAGGGAATGCTAAGTCTATCAAGACGACCACCAGCTTGTGGCTGCCCCAGCATCTTAGCAAATGCTGCAGCAGAACCCTGATTATGACGGGTTAATTTGATCTGCACCAACTCAAAGGCCTAAAGGATACTACAGAGTGAGAAGGAACCCCACCAGATCTGCACAATGCTCGCCATGGGGGCTGAAGTGGTAAGCCTTAGGCCTTTCCAGACCACAAGCAAGCTCGTAGATTCTGCTTGAATCAGACTGGTTTCCTGGTTTCGGCTCCCTTTCCCTTCTCCAGCCAAGGACAGAGTCCCAGGCCCTCACCTCCACCTTGATGGCGCAGCGGCCAATGGCACGCACAGCCTTCCGTACAAAGTCCACATCCACTTCCGTTGCATACTCTTTCAGCTCTGCCAATACCTGTAGCCCAAACAGAAAAGATGGGGTTGGGGGGGACCTGATGGGGCAACCTGCTGGAACACTCCTGGGCAGTGAATATACACAGACTCCCCAGGAGGATGGGATTCTGCCTCCTGCTCTAAGTGGAAGGCCCAAGGGAGGGAGAGAGCTGGCAGGTGCCTGAAAAGGAAAGCAGGACTGGACAACCTTATTTTGGGCTGATGTAGCTGACATATCCAATACCACTATGTAAGGGATGACAGGTGATAATAGGGAGAAACAGTCCTTTTTTTTTTTTTTTTTTGAGACTGAGTTTTGCTCTTGTTACCCAGGCTGGAGTGCAATGACAAGATCTTGGCTCGCCGCAACCTCCTCCTCCTAGGTTCAAGAGATTCTCCTGCCTCAGCCTCCCGAGTAGCTGGGATTACAGGCATGCACCACCAGGCCCAGCTAATTTTGTACTTTTAGTAGAGATGAGGCTTCTCCATGTTGGTCAGGCTGGTCTCAAACTCCTAGCCGCAGGAGATCCGCCAACCTCGGACTCCTGAAGTGCTGGGATTACAGAAGTGAGCCACTATGCCTGGCCGAGAAACACTCTTTAGTAAGAAAAACATCCGTTCTTTTACTTGCTTATGGAGTCCCATGTTCCATGCTAAACTCTGCGTAAGATAAACTGTTCATAGTGAGACTGGTCAGCTGGCCCAGAGCCTACAGTTTGGTGCTGGTGGAACCATCTCACACTAAGCCCGTGCCCTAATCATCACATGCTGCTAACCTGGGCGATGTTGGCCTGGGAGGCCAGGCAGATCATGATGTCCAGCTTCTCCAGCTTCACGTATATAGGGTCGTTGTACTTCACGAAGAACACCTTCATCTCGTGCTTCAAGATCTCAGGCCTAGTGGTGGGGCAGGATGCCCGGAGAGCAACAAACAAGGCGTAAGCCCCGTAAGAAAACCCCCTCCACATTTCCTGGGACATTTCTGGGATCTGAGGTGGCGTCTGATGTTTGTGAAAGCAGAGTCACTGCCATGGCTCCTGGGCAGAGGGCCCACCCCACCAACGGGCCTGAGTGAGGCTCTGACTGGCCCCTGTGTGCCTGAGCACATTGACGGAAGCGACAGGGAGCACAGCAAGAGACTCCAGAGGCAGCAGGTCCCATGGGACGGGCTTGGGCATCAGACACATCTCAGTCCCAGTCCCGGCCTGTGACCTTAGGCCTGTTTCCTCACCCATGAAATGAGAATGACACTGGACAGAAACACATTACCACTGCAGGTCTGGGACTGCTAGCCTCAGAAGGCCTGGCACGTGGCAACTTGGATTTTGGAAGTGTTCTCACCATTCCCTGAATGATAAAGGTATTTAACTGTGCCTAGACCATAATACAAAGAATACAGTTTATACTGAACACGTGCTTCCCTCCTGGGAGTCTGGACTTTGGGTAGGTGCCCCCAGTAACAAGCTTGGGTGCAAAAACACTGCACACATGATGCCACATTTTGCTGGGGGAAGAGTGTGCTCTGTGTGACTCCCCATGGCAAGGAGCAGGTACAAGGAGGCCTTTCATAGAATCCTCCAGACTCCACCTGTGTCCTTCGCCCCTATGACCCAGCCAGGCAGCCCTGCTCTGCCACTGATAGATCTGTGCTGTGGGTACAGCTATATGCTGAGTCCTGGCTGGGCGTGGTGGCTTGCACCTGTCATCCCAGCACTTTGGGAGACTGAGGCAGGAGGATCACTTGAGCCAAGGAGTTCAAGACCAGCCTGGGCAACATAGCAAGATCCTGTCTCAAAAAGAAAAAATATATTTTAAAACTGTGAGTACTGCTAATAAATCTTGAGTACGAGGGTGCTCTTGGGACCCCAACACGGACATGGACCTCATCGGCCTGCTATGAGAGTGAGATGCAAAGCATCTAGCATGATCGATGCCTGCCTCAGAGAAGCATCGCTAGGCAGGAGCTGTCACGAACTGAGCCCTTTCATGTGTCATTGTTCCTCCCTCAAAGGCTCCATCCTTCTGCCTTCCGCCAGTATCACCCACTACATTTTTCCTGGACAAGGAAACTTCAGAGAGGATGAGAGGCTGGCACCAGGTCACACGGCCGATGTCAGTAAGGACGGCGGTGGGACGAGAATCGCCTGCCTCTGACTCCTACTCGTATGCCCTTCCAGAACAGAAAGGAAGAAAGAAAAGGTCTGAGGACAGACAGCGAGGAAGGGGAAAGACAGGACAGAGGAAGGAGGAAACAGCACTCTGCTGCTGTGCACACTGCGGCGAGGTCCTGGCCAAGCAAGGAGCCTTTGTCGTGCCCCAACGGAGAGGCAAGACCCTGAGGTGGGTAGCAGGAAGATGATTTCTGCAATTAGGACTTGGCAAAAGCTGCCCAGCCACATCTCAAGACCAGGGCAGGGCATGTCTCAGTGACACAGACAACTTCTTAAGAGATTTACCATGTTAAATACAGCACAGGAAACCCTGCATGCTGATCTGCTCTACTCGTCACTACACCGCATTAAATTTGTGACCCAAGGGCACTGGCGTATAAAGACCCATGCTGCAACTGGAAAGCCCTAGTTTCATTTTAGGAACTCAGAAGGCTTTCCCATCTTTACCTCCCTAATATCCCAATTCGACCAGTATCTCCACGTCCCCCAGAGAGTACTAAGACCCAGAATGATGCTACGACCAGGAGGATGTGCTATCTTCTAAGAGAAAATGACTCATGAGGCCCCAGTTCTCTGTGTAGCCCCACTCCCAGCCACAGGGCCTGCTGTAACATGCAAATCATCAATAGTTGCTACGGTCTAGTCCCCACTGCTGACTGAGCCATGTGACCAAGAGCTGTGAGGAAAACTCAAGGTCAGTCCCACTCCCCAGAGCTGCAGGGCTCCACCACTCAGAGCCACTTCAGAGGAAGAAGGGGATCATGCCATGAACCCCTCAGACTCAGCACCGCTCAGTGGTTTTTCTGCTCTCGCCTACCCTCCACTACCAGACTGCGTGCCCTGGGTGCAGCGGCTCACTGCTGCAGCCATTCTCACGGGAGGAGGGAAGCGGGCGGCACAGCATTCGGAGTGAGTCTGATGCACCCCTCCCCCAGGCCTCGAGGTTGATGCAAAGTCCAACAGTTCCTCAACTTCCTGCAGTCCTCCAACCTCAGAGAATTTGACTAGAGCAACAGACCCTGTCCCCAAAGAAATGCACATAGATACACGAAATCTGACAGCCCATTTCAGGACGGCTCTGTGGACTGTGAACCCAATAGCTAGTTTAAGCACCAAGCTGGTCTTTACACAGCCTGCTTCCTAGTTAGGTTAAGCCAGGGCTTCTCAACCTCGGCACTGCTGACATTGCAGGCTGGACAGTTACTGTGAGGGGCTATTCTGTGCACTGTAGGATGCTGACCGGCACTCCTAGCCTCTGCCACTAGAAGCCAGTAGCATGCCCCCCAGCTGTGAAAACCAAAGTATCTCCAGACACCGCCAAATGTCCCTCAGGGGGCAAAGCTGCCCCTTTGGCCTTTGAGAGCCCCCATTCCCAGCAGAAGAGGCTCCCTGAGGGGTACGCATGGCACTTGTGTGTAATGACCTCAGTACCTTTTCTGCACGATGAGATTGATGTTGCGCAGAGCCACGTACTGCAGCTCCGGCTCGGCCGACAGCAGTGTGACCAGGGGTGGGGCCAGCTTCTTGAGAAGTGTGCCGTAGTAGTCCAGGTCCTTGGACAACATCTCCATGAACTTCATCAGCACCTTCACAGCAGAGAGCACCACAGCAGAGTTGGCGTGGGAGAGCCTGGGTGTGACCCGCTCACAGATGCTGGGGTCCATCCGTTCCAATGGGGCAAACAGGAAAGACAAGGAAACATCCCACCTTTAGTTATCAAACCAGCGTGTCCAGGCCGGGCACGGTAGCTCACGCCTGTAATCCTAGCACTTTGGGAGGCCAAGGCAGGTGGATCACTTGAGGTCAGGAGTTCGAGACCAGCATGGGCAACATGGCAAAACCCTGTCTTTACCAAAACATATACAAATTAGCCAGGCATGGTGGTGAGCACCTGTAGTCCCATATACTCGGGAGGCTGACACATGAGAATCACTTGAACCCAGGAGGTGGAGGTTGCAGTGAGCCAAGATCATGCCACTGCACTCCAGCCTGGGCAACAGAGTGAGACCCTGTCTCAAAAAAAAAAAGCATGTCCAGCCTGAGCAAAATCGTGAGACACTTCTCTACTAAAAGTAATTTTACACACTAGCTGGGTATGGTGGTACACACCTGTGGTCCCAGCTACTTGGGGGGCTGAGGAAGGAGGATTGCTTTGAGCCCAGGAGTTCGAGGCTGCCATGAGCTGTGATTGTGCCACGCATGTCAGCCTGGGTGATAAAGCAAAACCCTGTCTCAAACAAACAAACATGTTTTTTGTAGGAGAAAGATCTAAATCCTGGTTCTGCTGCCTGCTAACTAACCCCCAGCAGGTTCAAATCACTCTGGGCCTCAGTTTCCTCATCTACAGAATCAAGATAATGATGCCTACTTCACAGGATTGCTAGGGGCTTAATGAGATAATGCATGTAAAGAACAGGGCCGGGCGAGGCTGCGATGGATGGACTGCTTGAGCCCAGGAGTTTGAAACCAGCCTGGGCAACACAGTGAAATCCTGTCTCTAGAAAAAATATAAAATTAGCTGGGCATGTTGGCACACATCTGTAGTCCTAGCTACTTGGGAGAATTGACTGAGCCCAGGAGGTTGAGGCTGCAGCTCCAGCCTGGGGGACAGAGACCCTGCCTCAAAAAAAAAAAAAAAAAAAGAGTAAGCACAGTGCTGGCATGTAGTACATACTGTATAGATGCCAATCCCCACTTCATTACCTTTACCTCTCTAAGCTGGAGTGCCCTCATCTGGACAATGCGGAATGATGAGAGTTGCATTAAAGACTGTAATGTACAGAGAGCACCAGGCAGAACCCGAGACACCTAGTGAGAATTCAGTGAGCAGTGGCTCTGGTGCTCCCCATCTCTTGAATTCAACGGACGTGCCCTGGACTTCTGTGAGCTCCCAGGCCAAGCCGTGCCTGTGCTCACAGCAGACACTGAGCTGACTGCCCCAGGCAACTCTCCTGCCTGCCTGGCTCTGGAGAGGTAGGAAGCAGGCAGGCTTCCCTTTAGGTGTGTCTGAGGGTGGGCTGCGGGGCCAGGCCCTAGAAAGGGGCCCACTAAGGCCTGAGGACCAGGGTCTGGTTGGAGCCCCTGAGGACCACGGTCCTCAGGCTGGGCTGGCAAGCAAGGGGCAGCCTGCTCACCTCTGGGCCTCACGGTCGTCCTTGGGCGTATAGTTGGCCAGGCAGTCCAGGATGAAGATCTGGCCCCACTCGGTGCACTCATTCAGGGCTGTCAGGAGCTTGTTGATGGACTGTGGGTTCAGATCGAGCAGACTGCTGCCGGGGTGAGACTCCGTGATTTCCGAGAGCGCTGCTACAGCATTGGCCACCGCCTGGTTGAGAGGGTGAAAGGGGCAGAGGCTTGGGGTGCGACTCACAGGCCAGGGGGCAGTGGGGCTGATGATGCGGGCTGGTCAGAGGTCAAATATACTGAAAGGAATATGACCCGATGGGCAGGCTCTGGAGCTGCAGTGAGAACCACTCCAAGCATTCACCCTGCTGACTCCTCTGCAACCTGGCACAAAAGCAAGTGTGCCTGCCATTTAGAAAAACAAGAAAGACCTAGCTCCAAGTGCCTAGCCATAGAAAGCATTCCCACCTTCCTAACACAGCACCCCTGTGTACCAGCAATGGCAGCTCACTTCAGTGCTTGTCAGCTGTGCCTCTTAGAGCTAAGGGATTCCTGCGGAGTTCCTCGAGGCTACTGGCAGTGAATGCGGGCTAGAGAAAAGGGGCTTGCCAGGTGAAGCTCCAGGCCCTCAATCCATTTCCACTAGAGCAGCTGTTTTTCCTCAGCCTCCCGAGCAGCTGGGATTAATTACAGGCATGCCCCACCATACCCAGCTAATTTTTGTATTTTCAGTAGAGATGGGGTTTCACCATCTTGGCCAGGCTGGTTGGTCTCAGACTCCTGACCTCAAGTGATCCTCCTGCCTTGGCCTCCCAAAGTGCTAAGATTACAGGCGTGAGCCACCACACCCAGCCTGCTTGTTGCTGTTGTTCTTGTTGTTGTTTTTTTTTTGTTTTTTTTTTTTTGAGACGGAGTTTCCCTCTTGTTACCCAGGCTGGAGTGTAATGGCGCGATCTCGGCTCACCGCAACCTCCGCCTCCTGGGCTCAGGCAATTCTCCTGCCTCAGCCTCCTGAGTAGCTGGGATTACAGGCATGTGCCACCATGCCCAGCTAATTTTTTGTATTTTTAGTAGAGACGGGGTTTCACCATGTTGACCAGGTTGGTCTCGATCTCTCGACCTCATGATCCACCCACCTCGGCCTCCCAAAGTGCTGGGATTACAGGCTTGAGCCACCGCGCCCGGCCGTTGTTGTTGTTCTTGTTGAGACAGAGTCTCACTCTGTTGCCCAGGCTGGAGTGCAGTGGTGCAATCTCAGCTCACTGCAACCTCTGCCTCCCAGGCTCAAGCAATCCTCCTGCTTCAGCCTCCTGAGTAGCTGGAATTATAGGCACATAGGCACATGCTACCACACCCAGGTAATTTTTGTATTTTTAGTTAAGGTGGCGTTTTGCCTTGTTGGCCAGGCTGGTCTCCAACTCCTGACCTCAGGTGATCTGCCCATCTCAGCCTCCCAAAGTGCTGGGATTACAAGTGTGAGCCCCTACACCCGGCCTTAGGCAGCTGTTTTTAAGTGTGTTCTGCTTTGTTTCTGACTTTCCCTGTGGCCCATCCAGGGCTCCAGTGCCCATCCCTGTACTGGCCACTCGGTACTGTGTGTGGCAGTTGCTCAGTGTTTCTGTTCAGAGTGGGATGGCTGGGTTTGTGCATTCATTTAAACACTTATTTTAAAGAGACCGTGCCAAACTGCCCTCCAGACTGCTGCCGCCGCCCTGGGTAAGGAGACTGTGGGGTTCCATGTCCTGCTACATCTGGATGTCCCATCTTCCAGGCTATGGCTACTTCAAGGGTGACCCTCTACAACCCAGCAAAGATGGGAGGGAGGGAAAAGCACCCCACATGCAGCACTGGTCTTGGTGAGAGGACAGCAACAGTAACAGTGACTAGAAGGGGAAGGAGGGCACTAGGACTGATCACACACCATGTGCCGGGCCGTGCCAGGGACGTCACCTTCACAGCACTCCTGCCCGCTATGCAGAATGAGATCCATCTCACTGATGAAGAAGACAGTCCTGGAAGCCTAGGCAGTGCTCCACGTTGTGCAGCTAGTCAGAGGGTGAGGAGGAGGGAATCCAGGTCCGGCTTCCTCCAAAGAGGCTGTCTGAACCACCACAGGCACAAGAACGGCAGGCACCCCAGCCAGACTCTGACTTCCAGGTACTCAGGACTGCCTGGTGAAGGGTCAAGCCAGTGTCTTCCCAGGCAACCCAGGAGGCGGTGGAGAGGCACGGTGGGTGGCAGTGGCTTACCATGGGGTTAGAGTCAGAGATGAGGTCTTTAAGGGTGTCCAGGAAGCCCTGGTCCTCCACCAGCTGGGCGTTGATGTCGTGAAGCTTGGCCACGCACACAGCTGCTGTCTTGCGCACGTATGGATCCTCATCCTTCAGGCACTTCCGGAGTGGCTCACACAGGTACTCTGTGATCTTGTCAACGCGGATGCAGCCCATGGTCCGCACCGCCAGGGCTCGGATGAGGGGGTTGGGGTCCTCACAGTCCTGAGGGGAACCAGCCATCGGCCAGGGCAGGGGTGGGATGAGCCATCTGTGGCTTCATATTCTCCCTGGCCTCCAGCTCTGAGCCCTGCTGGGCTGAGCAACATCAGATGGCTGCTGTGAATCTCTACCAACTACAGCCAACAGCAGCGAAAGTAAATGCTATGTAAGCAGCACCCATGCCAGCTCTGCACACCATCTCCTCTTATCCTCACAGTAGAAACACAATACTGGTCCCATCTTACAGATGATGAAACTGAGGCTCTCAGGAAGGCTGGGAGCTCATCCAAAGTCACAGAGCAGAGCCGTGATTCAAACTCACATCCACCTAGCATTACAGCCCTCGATTTTTCCTCTGGCCACAGAAGCCTCATTTCCCCATATCTGAGCATGGACAGGACTCAGAGGAGCTAAGGTTCTAAAGGTATACAGATTCATAGGTAGTAAACATTAGGAGAAAATGAAATTAAAATAAAGGTGCACAGAGCTGACAATTCAATCTGAAGGACAGAAAATGGAGTAAGCAGCAGTCTAGAAGGGGAACAGAGAAGCTCTCAGACACCTGCTGATTCCTGCCCTGGCAAAGCATGCACAGCAGGGCCCAATCAGGGTGGTGAGGGGATCGACAGGCCTTGCAGGACCTCACACAGGATGAGTTAGGCAGCAGCCTTGGCATCTGGATTTCTGGGAAGTGGGAGCCCTCTGCTGGAGGAAGAGGCCTGCAGGCTGGGTGGGCGTGGGCAGTCCAAAGGTCTGGATTCCATCCAGGGCCACAGGGCCCCACCCCAAAGAGACTGAGGGGAGACTGAGCCTTAAGCACCCCATTCCCCCATACCCCCATGCCCACCAAGCTCCTGCTCACCTTCACAAAGGTGTTGACGGCCATAATAGCCATGTCAGGCCGACTCTTGGCATAATTCATCAGGTAGAGGTATACCAGCTTCTTCAGCTCCAGGTTGTCAGTCAGCCCCAGGCTGTCCATCTTCCAGGGCACAGGGAAAGGCTGATAAAAGGAAGCAGATTTTCAGGCTGCTAACTAGTGGGTGGGAGGACAGTGAGTAGGAGAGAAAGGAGAGACACACTGGACGACTTTCTGGTAAAAGGGAGGGTATCAGCTGTGCTGTTAACCATCCACACTTACTGGTAGAAAATCCTAAATGGAGGAGAGAGATCCAAGATGGCTGATCACTAGCAGCTCGGGATTGCAGCTCCCAGTGAAAGCACAAAGAACGAGAGGACGCCACACCTTCACATGTATTCTTGTTGCTCACGCACCAGGAGATTCCCAACGGAGGAGCCCCACGGGTCACCAGCGCGACTCTTGTGACCGGCGAGGCGGTTTTGCCGGTGCCTCGGAGGGTCGGTTCTTAGTGCAGAGTCAGAAAAGCACCATCAATCTTAACGCCGCTGACTTAGTCGGCACAGTGGGTTGCTCAGATTTCGGCGCTGAGAATCAATAAGTTGGACGTCCACTCAGAAACCCAACTACAAAGACGGTAAATACAAAGACCACAGATGGATAAATTTATAACAAAGGGAAGAAAACAGTCAAAAAAGGCTGAGAATACCCAAGATCAGAACGCCTCTCCCTCAGCAGGGGATCACGGTTCCTCATCAGCAACGGAACAAGGCTTGATGGAGAACGAGTGTGTTCCAATTACAGAAGCAGGCTTCAAAATGTGGATAATAAGAAACTTCTGTGAATTAAAAGAACTTGTTTTAACCCAATCTAAAGTAACTAAGAACTTTGAAAAAAGATTTCATGAAACGTTAACAAGAATACACAATTTAGGGAGGAATATAAGTGAATTGATGGAGCTGAAAAACACAATACGAGAACTTCGTGAAGTATGCACAAGTTTTAACAGTCGAATTGATCAAGCAGAAGAAAGGATATCAGAGGTCAAAGACCAACTCAATGAAATAAAACAAGAAGACAAGATTAGACAAAAAAGGATAAAAAGGAAGGAGCAAAGTTTCCAAGAAATATGGGACTATGTGAAAAGACCTAATCTACGCTTGATAGGTGTACCTGAATGTGAGGAAGAGAATGAATCCAAGCTGGAAAATACGCTTCAGGACATTATTCAGGAAAATTTTCCCAACTTAGTAAGGCAGGATAATATTTAGCTCCAGGTAATACAGAGAACACCACAGAGATATTCCTCAAGAAGAGCAACTCCAGGGCACATAATCGTCAGATTCACCAGGGTTGAAATGAAGGAGAAAATACTAAGGGCAGCCAGAGAGAAAGGTCAGGTTACCCACAAAGGGAAGCCTATCAGACTCACAGCAGATCTCTCAGCAGAAACCCTACAAGCCAGAAGAGAGTGGGGACCAATATTCAACATCCTTAAAGAAAAGAACTTTCAACCCAGAATTGCACATCCAGCCAAACCAAGCTTCACAAGTGAAGGAAAAATAAAGTTTTTTGTGAATAAGCAAGCACTCAGAGATTTCCTCACCACCAGGCCTGCTTTACAAGAGCTTCTGAAAGAACCACCACACATAGAAAGGAACAAACAGTATCAGCCTTTCTAAAAAAATACCAAAAAGAGCATAAATATAATGAAGAATTTACATCAACTAATGGGCAAAAGAGCCAGCTAATATTAAATGGCAGTATTAAAATCACATATATTATTATTAATTCTAAATTTAAATTGACTAAATCCCCCAATCCAAAGACAGACAGGCAATTTGGATAAAAAAATAAAACCCATCGGTATGCTGCATCCAGACCCATCTCACATTCAAGGATACACAAAGACTCAAAACAAGGGATGGAGAAGGATTTACCAACCAACCAGAGAGCTAAAATAAATAAATAAAAAGCAGAAGTTGCAATTAAGCAACAAAGATCAAAAGAAGCAAAGAAGGACATTATATAATGATAAAAGGATCAATGCAACAACAAGAAGAGCTAAAGACCCTAAATATATAGGCACCCAATACAGGAATACGCAGACATACAAGACTTATAAAGAGACTTAGACTCCCACATAATAATAGTGGGAGACTTCATCATTAATATTAGACAGATCAATGAGACAGAAAATTAACAACGATATCCAGGACTTGAACTCAGATCTGGAACAAGTAAATGTAATTAACATTTATAGAGCTCTCCACTTTAAATACACAAAATATACACTCTTATCAGTACCACATCATATCAACTTAGAAGTTTAAACGAAATATTGGTTGGCTCCTTGTTTGTTATTCTCTTCCCTCATTTTCTTTCATGTCTCCATTATTAAGGACAATTATAGGCATACCCATATTTAGACTGCATTCTAGCCCGGGCAACAAAGCAATACCCCCATCCTCTCTCCCTCTTCCTCTTTCTCTTTCTTCCTCTTATTCTTTTTCTTATAAAAAAAAAAAAAAGAAGAAGAAGAACAAAAGAAAACTATAGCATCTATATCAGATGATTGAGGGTGGTTGCAGCCTACTTCTTACTCCTAGGCTTTTACAAATATTGTACTCCCAGGATCTGTTAATTCAGCAGGGCAGAATATTTAAATGATGTAACTAGGAAACATTAGGTTACTACATCACAGTATTACCTGAATTTTGGCTATGCTGATGTTCCATATTTTATGAATAGCTATAAACCTTAAAATATCTGTTCAAATCTCACCTTGTCAGTAAAGTCTTCTCTCTTCTCCTCCTTAGTGTTCTCTATTTCTACTACCCTGTTTTATCTTTCTTTACAACACTTATCACAATTTGACATATATATTTGCTTCCTTATTTTCTATCTCCTTCCACTAGAATGCAAGCTTGAGCAGCAGCTTTATGTACTTAGTTTATTGCTTTATTACAGGTATCTAGAAAAATTCTGACATAAGTATACACTCAGTATTATTTGCCAAATGAACAAATGAAAATTGAAAAATTAGTTTGATAAGAAAGAAAATAATGATTTCTAATTTTTTTTATGCTACAGTATTGGAAAGGTATTCCATGAGAAATATTTGTCCCAGAATCTAAAGAAAAATCTCTCTTCAGATAGTTCTCAAGCCAATTTTAGACAGATTTACTTGAAGTATGTTTTATAAATATCAATATTTAAAAAAAAAATGAATCCTCAAAGCAAAATTGTGTATGAATGCCAATATTCTCACTTTAAAAATGAGGAGACTCAGGCATGGAGAATTATAACCTGCCCAAGATTGCATAGCCTGGAAAAAAAAAGAAAAAGAAAAGAAAATCCCAAATGGTAATTTTAAAAGCAGAAAAAGGGCCAGGCACAGTGGCTCACGCCTTGTAATTCCAGAACTTTGGGAGGCCGAGGTGGGCAGATCAGAAGTTCAAGAGTTTGAGACCAGCCTGGCCAATATGGCGAAACCGCATCTTTATTGAAAAAAAAAAGAAAAGAAAAAGAAAAAAGAAAATTAGCTGGGCAAGGTGGCGGGCACCTCAGCTACTCAGGAGGCTGAGGCAGGAGAATCGCTTAAATGCAGGAGGCGGAGGTTGCAATGAGCCGAGATCACACTGCTGTACTCCAGCCTGGGTGACAGAGCAAGACTCCGTCTCAAAAATAAATAAATAAAAATAAAAGCAGAGAGATCCAAGATGGCTGATCACTAGCAGCTTGGGATTGTAGCTCCCAGTGAAAACGCAAAGAACGAGAGGACGCCACACCTTCACATGAATTCTTGTTGCTCACGCACCAGGAGATTCCCGCAGAGGAGCCCCACGGGTCGCCAGCGCGACTCTTGTGACCGGCGAGACGGTTTTGCCGGCACCTCGGAGCGACGGTTCTTGGTTCAGAGTCAGAAAAGCACCATCAATCTTAACGCAGCTGATTTAGTCGGCGCAGTGGCTTGTTCAGTTTTTGGCGCTGAGAATCAATAAGTTGGACGTCCACTCAGAAACCCAATTACAAAGACGGTAATAATAAAGACCACAGATGGATAAATCTACAACGAAGGGAAGAAAACAGTCAAAAAAGGCTGAGAATACCCAAGATCAGAACGCCTCTCCCTCAACGGGGGATCACGGTTCCTCATCAGCAATGAAACAAGGCTTGATGGAGAACGAGTGTGTTCCAATTACAGAAGCAGGCTTCAAAATGTGGATAATGAGAAACTTCTGTGAATTAAAAGAACTTGTTATAACACAATCTAAAGAAACAAAGAACTTTGAAAAAAGATTTGACGAAATGTCAACAAGAATACACAATTTAAAGAGGAAAATAAGTGAATTGATGGAGCTGAAAAACACAATACGAGAACTTCGTGAAGTATGCACAAGTTTTAACAGCCAAATTGATCAAGCAGAAGAAAGGATATCAGAGGTCGAAGACCAACTCAATGAAATAAAACTAGAAGACAAGATTAGAGAAAAAAGGATAAAAAGGAACGAGCAAAGTCTCCAAGAAATATGGGACTATGTGAAAAGACCTAATCTACGCTTGATAGGTGTACCTGAATGTGACAAAGAGAATGAATCCAAGCTGGAAAATACGCTTCAGGACATTATTCAGGAAAATTTTCCCAACCTAGTAAGGCAGGATAATATTCAACTCCAGGTAATACAGAGAACACCACAGAGATATTCCTCAAGAAGAGCAACTCCAGGGCACATAATCGTCAGATTCACCAGCGTTGAAATGAAGGAGAAAATACTAAGGGCAGCCAGAGAGAAAGGTCAGGTTACCCACAAAGGGAAGCCTATCAGACTCACAGCAGATCTCTCAGCAGAAACCCTACAAGCCAGAAGAGAGTGGGGACCAATATTCAAAATCCTTAAAGAAAAGAACTTTCAACCCAGAATTGCACATCCAGCCAAACTAAGCTTCATAAGTGAAGGAAAAATAAAGTTTTTTGTGAACAAGCAAGCACTCAGAGATTTCATCACCACCAGGCCTGCTTTACAAGAGCTTCTGAAAGAACCACTACACATAGAAAGGAACAAACAGTATCAGCCTTTCTAAAAAATAACAAAAAGTAAA